GGCTTCTTACCTAGGCTGCTGAGCAGGTTATTCAGGATCTCAATGTCCGTCTCCAGGGAGCTCTGGGCTTCTCGGAGGCTCTCCTTAGCGTCACTCATCCCCATCCTCACCTTCCAACACACACGGACTTGCATTAGCCGCACACAAATCACAGGGTGGATTCGGGCCACCAGCGCTAACAGATCAACTCCACGTGGGGGATTCCACGGAGGACATCCCGGCCTGTGCATGGGGATCCTGCAGAGCCTGCCACAGACATGCCACGTCCGGGGTTTCTGCCACGGGCAGCGTTCCTTCTAAGTTTTCCCAGCCATGAGCGGAGCGAGGTTCATCATGTGCACCAGTGGTGAGGTCGTGTGTGCTTGTGTGTGCACTGCGGCACCCACCACTTACTCACAAAAAGTCCAACATAGTGTGCAGGCAGCACAGGGCTACAAAGGGGCCCAAGCCAGCGAGGAACTCGGGTTAGGACAAGGAGGGGACTAATTTTATTTGATTTCATATTAAACACACAAAATAAGTCATGCACTGTATTCATTATCCCGTTTTAATGTTGAGCACTCAGGAGGAGGTAGCTAATTAGTGCAGGTGCGGCTGCGTGGCTCCATTAATGAGGTAGGTAGGTCTTAATTGCGCCGTGTGGCCACTCAGCCGCACACTTTACAGGGCGCTATGGTGACAGCCAAGGAAGAGAGGGGGCTCGCGCCCACGCCCCCGGGATCAGAGCTCACCTGGTGAGACGCCTCGAACTCCTCCCCGAGCTGCTCAGACACGTGCTCCTGCCTTGAGATTTCTGCCAGGGTTCCGTTGACGCGCTTGGCAAGCTCTCTGGCGCGCTTGTCTTCCTGCTTCCCTTCCCTCAGCAGGGCCTGGGACCTCTGCACGGCGCCGGCAGCACAGGGTTAGAGAGGGAAGCATCAGTAGGAGTCGGCTTTTGCATTGCTCCTTTCCCCGTCCTGATCCCCTCCTTGTGCCCAGACGGCCGCTGAGCAAGGCTATCGCCTGAGCTGGGGTGGTGTGTGGAAGGGAGACCAGGTTCCTGTCAGCCCCAGGTAACTCGCCCACTGGCGTGAGCGATGGCTCGGTGGGAGGGATGTGGAACTCAGTGAGTGCACGCGCCAGCCCTTCCTTCCTCACATGGCAATTCAAGTTGGACTTGAGATGCAGATCAGCCAGCACTTGAGACGCTGCAAAGCCAGACAGCCGGACCAAGGCTCAGAACAGGACCTTGGCTCTAAGAGCAAGGGATGCTACATGCAGGAGGCAGGGTCTGGGAGAACTACAGGCTAGAATTAACGCTGACTGGAAGATAGCAGGTTTAAAAAATAGGCAGCAAGTTTAAAACAAACAAAAGGAAATTTTCTTCCCTTAGCGCACCGTCAACCTGTGGAACTCCTTGCCAGAGGATGTAGTGAAGACTGAGGGTATGTCTACATAGCAAAGTTATTTTGAAATAACAGCAGTTATTTCAAAATAACTTTCCTAGCGTCTACACAGCCATTCCGTTATTTCGAAATTAATTCGAAATAGCGGAGGGTTTATTTAGAAATTGGTAAACCTCATTCCACAAGGAATAGTGCCAATTTCAAAATTGCTATTTCGAAATAAGCACTGTGTAGATGCTTATTTCGAAATAGGGGGCCTCCATCCCTTCCCAGGGTGCCCTGGTGTCCCCCCTGGCCACAAAGTAACTTCTGACCTGATGCCCTGCTGGAACTGGTTCCAACCAGCCTTAAATGCAATTCAACGTCCACTCAGTGTGGACGCGCTATATCGAAATGCATTGTGTGTGTAGACATGTTATTTCGAATTAACTATTTCGAAATTAGATATTTCGAAATAACGCTGTAGTGTAGACATACCCTGAGACTTTAACAGGGTTCAAAAACAAGCTAGATAAATTCATGGAGGTTAGGTCCATCAATGGCTATTAGCCAGGATGGGTGTGAATGGTGTCCCTAGCCTCTGTTTGTCTGGAAATGAATGATGGGGGAGGGATTATGTGATGACTACCTGTTGTGTTCCCTCCCTGGCATTGGCCACCTTTGGCAGACAGGATATTGGGCTACACAGACCTTTCGTCTGACCCAGTATGGCCACTCTTATGTTCTTATGTTCCTGTGTCAGGACGGGAGGGTGCTGCAGGCCAGTAAGTGGGGGCATTGGCAGAGTGATGCTGAGGAAGCCCATGCAGCATCTCCTTGCATTAACCCAGCCTCCAGCTCTCCCTTCCTTGGCACATGCTGGACCCCCTCCTACAGCCCCTCTCCCCTCGGTTGAACACCAGCCTCGCCGACCTTGGAGCTCTCCCCGGCAACTCTCTCTGCTTCTCTGACCGTCCTCTTGGCTGCCGCAGGGGGCATTGGCAGAGTGATGCTGAGGAAGCCCATGCAGCATCTCCTTGCATTAACCCAGCCTCCAGCTCTCCCTTCCTTGGCACATGCTGGACCCCCTCCTACAGCCCCTCTCCCCTCGGTTGAACACCAGCCTCGCCGACCTTGGAGCTCTCCCCGGCAACTCTCTCTGCTTCTCTGACCGTCCTCTTGGCTGCCGCAGCGACAAGCGCCGCGGTGTCGCTGACACTCTCTGTCGT